AAAGCATGCTTCTTTAGTGGTCTTTTTTCCCGAGTACGCTTTCTACAGGAGATTACAAAGAAGTGAATTTAAAAGCCGATATCCTGCCGAGGCCGAAATTTTATAAGAGTATGCCGCAAGATAGTCAGTATTATAACCGCGACCAAGTAATCCTTCCTAATCGAAAACGCATTTTAGAATTTCAGCCAACATTTCATGTACTTAATTTATGTGGACTTTCGTATTCTCCGCATTCCCGCTTTTCTGGAAAAAATGTCGTCTTCTTAATACTTCTAGTGGCCTGGAGGTCATTTGCTATCGTTTGTGAATTCTGCTCACTGGAGTTGAGCTGATATCCGATTGATTAGGAGTCCTGTGCGAACTTACGCATATATTAGGAGTTACGTCAATCATCAGCTGCAGCATATCGAAGGGGACGTAATGCCCTTGTGGCCAGGAAGATTGGTCGCTCTGACCGTCGGGCTAACCTAAGCCTCATCGGCAGCAGCGGCACGACTGATATTATGCGAAGAATAACATCCTAAACAGATAGAAAGTACACTTGAGCGGCCGTTTTTGACATGTTTGTCGCCATCAGCCAGCCATACGCAACCCCAGGTTGTGTAACCACTGAGGCTGGATCCCGCGACCTGTTGGTTAGAAGCCCAAGGCCCTAACCACTGAGCCACGGGGACTGGTCAACCTGTCGGTTGCGATCGGCGATATACAATGGCAAAGGAGGTGTTCACCGACCTTGTTACGCAACTCATTCTTCCCGCATTGTGCCTTGGGGCTCTCTATCTCTCTCTCCCGGGCCCAATCAGCAGCCGCATAGCGGCGCGCAATACACGCAGACTACAATTACCAATAAAGATATGGGAGACTGAAATGGCCATTTCTGGCTTCTAAGCCGTCGTCAGTCATACCCAACCTCGAAGTGTGGAACACCTGGGGTTCGATCCCGCGACCAGCTGATTAGAATTCCGGCTGCCTAACCACTGAGCCGCGTGGGCTGATTGGCCGGTCGGTTGCGACCGGGTGTGTATAAGCGTTAAGGTTCGCTCGTCGATCGTGTTTCGAGACCTCCTCCTCCCATTGTGCCCTGGATCTCAATCCCGAACACTTGTTAGTAAACGCGGTTGCAACTAGCAGGAAAACAAGGTGTTTGGAACGTCAAACACCTAACTAATGGGTCACGGGATCGAGTTTTAAGCACTGGAAGAAAACCTGGTCTGGACAATAGACGAACTTTGCCAGTTTTGTACCCCTCCAACAAAAACGAAATCTAGTCCGATGTCTGGCACATTGAGCAAGAAAAATTTGCTCAACAGATAGCATCGAGGAGGAGCTCAGAAAAATCCAGGACTTCCTTCAAGAAAACGGGTATCCTGACAGGTTCATTGCAAAGAACATTGTCGAAAGACCGGTTAAACCCGCCACACCGACCGCTGAAAAGAAAACTTTGTTCCTCAAAGTCCCTTTCCAAGGGGAAGCGACGAGTGAACTCCTTAGGAGACGCCTTGATCAAGCTGTCTCGCGAACCTTCCCAGCAGCAAGGGTTCAAATATCATTCTCTACTAACCCTATTTTACGCGGAGAAGGTAAGGATAAGTTGCCACCGCAGACCACCTCAATGCGCATCTATTCCTTCACTTGCTCCTGTGGAGCAGTTTATATTGGTCGCACGAGTCGGCGCTTATCCAAAAGAATACGCGAACACCTCCCGGCATGGCTAGGAAAAGGCGAAACGAAAAGTATAAGCAGCGCCATTCTGGCACATGTTCTCGATTCCGGACATCGTGTGGACCCCAAAGAAGCTTTTCGTGTGATTTATAAGGTCTCATTGAGCTACCCTAAGCTACTAGGCCAGCGCCTGTTAGCAACAGCGGAAGCGGCCGCCATTAGGTTACGAAAGCCAACCTTATGCGCTCAGAAGAACCACGTTCAGGCTCCGCGCCTACAGTGGTTGACGGCTGACTAACGGTGCAACTCCCCCCGCGCACTTGCGCTCTCACCCCGCCCCTGAAAATGACTGTTATTACCCCCACCCCTCCCCCACAGTCCCCCACCCCGCCATTGTTTAAGGAGTACTTTTATCGACGTCTCTTATCGCTTGCATGTTTTACTTCTACCCCGTTCCTATATAACTGTACTGGCCCGACGAGAATTTATCGAAAGCTACGTATGCTCGCCACCTCGTTTTCTGATTACTGCTATGGGAATTTTCGCAACACTGGAAAAAACCCGAAGTTGAGAATGGTTGGCTGATGAGAGCTAAGAAGCCGGAAATGACCATATGAGTCGTCCCTGTCCTTGTCATTGGTGTCGCCCAGGCCCTATCGCCTTCGGACAACCTTTGCTTCCGGCAGCCAAGGACTCTGCTACTTATGTCGTTCCTCCCGATAACCACCGCTGGGGGTGACAAAGATATGATGACAGTTCGATCGTCGTTGCCGACGATATCCACCGTGTGTTCTACAACAGGATGAGAGCAACGACGGTGAGTTGTGTGACGGTAGACTTGTCCATCATGCGTCGCACTCTCTCCTCCACCCCCATTGGCCTTAAGACAGAGTCAGCAAGACCAAAGACGGGAGAGGGCGACTGACACGATGAAAACCCGGACCTGGACGTACCACCACACCGCCTGATCCACACTTTACGCTGACCAGGATTTTGCGCAAGAAAAGAAGGGGATGGCTTGGGCCCCAACTCGGCCTGCTAGGGCCTGCACCTTGGCGTGTCGGCAAGCTCTCAATTTTTTCGTGTTTAACTAAAAGCAGTCACAAGGACAGGATGTCCGTGCGTAGTTGGTTTGCTTAAAGTCGTTTGCTAGTGTGAAACATGAGCGGGGAGAAGCCGGAGTGGGAATCAAATTACATGACTAACCATGATTAACTTCCGGAAATAAACTCGTCTCCCAGCAGATCGAAATAAGTGGTTGCTGAACCGAGAGCCTCCCAGAGCGACGTGGGATCTATGGGCCGTTGCGAAATTCTCCGGGGAACTTACGAGTCCGGAGTAGATCATCTAGAGCCGCATTCGATAATTCCCTAGCAGGGGTCGGTCGTTTCTGATCTCCCCTGTCAACCGACTGTCAAAAACAGATGCAGCGCTAGAAAAGTTTTCAAACAGATCGCGCGACCTGCATGGACGACCCAGGGTTCAAAAAGCGGGTATATGACTAAAGGTCACGTCAACTACTGCGACGGTGATCAGCACTGAGGTCGTTCCGCCTCCTCCTCCTCCTCCTCCTCCTCCTCCTCCTCCTCTTCCTCATCCTCCGCCTCCTTTTTCATTTTTCTGGTTAAGAGTGCGTTGTCTAAGTACACACTCAGTCCAAATATTCAGGATTAAATTTGCAAACCTCGGATGAGTCCCCTAGTCCTTGACCACCACGCAATGCCTGTTACCGCATGAGCAGGAGATTCCCTATTTTAACCGGAATCCTGATACTGAAGTTGCCGACCACGTCACGGGGATTCGGCATTTGACGACATCCGTCGTGTGCGCCCACACTGTGGCGGGCATAAAATCGGTGGCTTTCGCGTGAACTAGTTTATAGTGATGGCAGTCTTACTCTGCACCTACTGCGCCCTCTCCTCTCCCACACACCAAGCGGCCAAGCCACAAGGCGGGACGACAGGAGGTAGACTCTGACCCAGTCCGTCCGCGCGTGCTGCACGGCCTAGTGCCACCGGGTTTTCACAAAAATGAATGCGAGTGCCACAGAGGCCTCACTAAGACGCCATTAGGCCTGAATTTGCATTCTGAAAGAGAATCCGAGTTACCAGTTCATTTAGCGACCTTATAAGCTGAAAATGCTAGCGCTTCGGAGCAGCTTCTAGAGCGTTCGTGAGAAAGGTGCTGAAGTTCGTTGGGGAGTGGGGTGGGGAGGTGAGAAATCCCATCTTTCATCAGTACACCGTCCGAGTGCGTCAGCCATCTGATGCTGGTACTGGGAAGATTCAGTCTTCTACAAACAAGTGTGCGATGTAGATGGGCTAGGGTCTACTTAAGATCTTCAGTAGTCAAATGACAGCCCCTGGTGCAAGCGATCAAACGACCGAAGCACAGTGACGAGTCGGACCTCTGACGGAAGCCAATTGTGTAAACGAAAACTCCTTACTTACACCAGTCAAATCGGTTAGATTTATTCTAACGCCAGGAAATAATGACTTGTAACTTGACATGCTAAGGTATTCCCTTGACTATTCGACGGCTGCTGGGCACGAAACAAACTGCATTTTCCGCATGAACAGTCCGTGAAACCAAGTGCACCTTCAGTGCCGATACAAGCGAAGATGCGAGTTCCAGGAACTAGTCGACGAATGCAGTCGCCATGATACCGCATACTTATAGCAATTAACCGCCCTCCCCTTCATGAAGGATCGTTGCCCGCTGGTACGCTAGTTGCTTGATGACCGGCATGCAAGTTGTTAATTGCTGAAATCACATCCCCGTGTTGGATGCTGGCGTGATGATTGCTCGGTCATCTCTCTCACCGACTTGCGCGCTCATTGACTGGTCAATTACTTTGGCCAGCCTATGCCTCAGCACGGAATATGGAGTGGGTATGTAGTTGCACTTATTGATAGACTGACGTCCCTTGAACCATGAATCAACCAACTCATGGTTCCAGCGATTATCCTCTCTCGCGAGAAGTGCGGCCTCATCGAACTTGAATGTGTGGCCGGGTCTCGTCGAATGGGCCGCGACGCGCGAGTTGGCGTCATTTCTTCGTACCGCTGCTGCGTGTTCGGTTATTCGCGTCGAGAGCAGTCTTCCAGTTCATTCGACATAGTCGCTTTGTCCCAAGAAACGGCCTTGGCCCAAGGTGCACAGGGAGGGCGTTCCTCTCCGGCCCATTGTATCGCTCAAAGGCACTCTAACGTACGGACTGGCGAAATGGCTGTTTCGACGCCTCAAATTTCTGACCGCTAATTCGGACACCACCGTCTGTTCGTCAACACAATTCCTGGAGAAGCGTTAAAGAGTAAGTCTCTTGCTCAAATGAGGTCATGGTATCTTTTGATGTCACGTCCCACTTTACCTCTATCCCCCAGGATCTGGCACTCGAGACCGTCCAGCTCCTCCTACGAAAAAAGTACAATGAAACGGAGAATCGTCTTGGACATGCCCAAGTCCTTCAGCTCCTAAAGTTCTGTCTCAGGACGTACTTCACGTTTGACGGAACAATCTACGAGCAAGTGAAGGGAACAGCAATGGACTCGCCGATCTCGGGATTCATCGCCGAGGCGGTCCTACAGCGGTTAGAATCGTTGGTCTTCCAACACCACAGACCGAAATTCTGGGCTCGGTATGTGGACGACACCTTCGTCGTCATCGAACGGGATCAGGCGCTAACGTTCAAAGAACGTCTTAACAGCGTCTTCCCGGACATACAATTTACCATGGAGGAGGAAGAAAATAGCCAGCTGGCATTCCTTGATGACCTCGTCTGCCACAAAGATTGTGGTGGCCTAAAGACCAAAGTGTCCAGAAAAGCGACGAACACGAAGCAAATACTGAACTTCAACAGTAACCACCCAATAAGCCACAAACGCAGTTGCGTAAGAACGCTATGTCGGCGCGTTGAGACTCACTGCAGTGAACCGGAGGAAATCTGAAATCCAATATCTTCGACGGGTTTTCAGAGGAAATCCTTACCCGCACAACTTCACCAACAGCTCTATGAGCGAACGAGATGAGCGACAAAATCGTACGGACCCCACATTCTGGAGAGCGATCCCGTACATCAAGAACGTCTCCGAGGCCGTTAGTCGCCTTCCTGTACCAATTGGAGTTTGAGTTGCACACAGACCGGAGGCCGCCATAAGGCGGCCAAAAGACCCACTGCCACAGCAAAAACATCTGGAATCGTTAATTGGATCTGGTGCAGTTGCGGGCGAAGCAGCTACGTCAAAAAAACTGGAAGACTGCTCCGGACGCTAATGTCCGAACACGTGGCAGCGGTAAGGGGAAATGACGCCAACTCGCGCGTCGCGGCCCATTCGACGTGACCCGGCCACACATTCAAGTTCGATGAGGCCTAAATTCTCGCGAGAGGGGATAATCGTGTGAGCCGCGAGTTGCTTGAGTCATGGTTCACGGGACGTCAGTCTATCAATAAGTGCAACGACATACCCACTCCATATTCCGTGCTGAGGCATAGGCTGGCCGAACTAATTGACCACTCTGCGAGCGCGCAAATCGGTGAGCCAGATGGCTGAGCAATCATCATGTCTGCATCCAACACGGGTGATGAAATTTCAGCAATTAACAACTTGCATGCCGGCCAGCAAGTAATTAGCGTACCAGCGGGCAACGATCCTTCATGAAGGGGAGCGCGGTTAATTGCTATAGGTATGCGGTAGCATACCGACTGCATCCTATAAATACTGCAACCTCTTGTGCACGAGTCACTCGTTTCTGCCACTGGTGATGGAGCCAAGTGAGAATCCGAAACGTCAGGCGAATAAAGCCCTTCATCTTCTTATCCATAGCAAATGAATCTAGTGCTATTTTGCAGGCATTGTCAAAAGGGTATTGCATTTTTAGATTTGCAGTCTGATGACTGTCTTAAAACATCTTGACCAAACTCACGTAATAGCCACTGCTAGACCTTTTTTTCTCTCCGGCACGTACAAATACATATCGGCTGTTATTTTTTAGCGCAGTTGCTCTTAGGATTAATTAGTCACTACCATAAACCATACCCTTCCCACAGAAGCATTTTAAATAAGGAAGGCAACGGTAGGTTAATGAACTCCAATTAGCTGCCGGTAGACATTAGAACATGTGCTGATGTGTGCTTGCAAAATCTAGTTAAGTATTGATGACTGGTAGTTTAACCCAACAGCAGCAAAACAAAAACATGAATTGGTGGATAACAGAAATGTTTGCCAGAGTATGGGCCACGAAATATCCATCCATCATTTCACTCGACAGTACTGTTTTTGCCACTAACAGTCTTCTTTGTTTTCCTACATTCTTTCTGCTTACTGTCCAGGTTGCTGTTCCACCCCTGAACCAACATTTCCGCATGATACGACCCACAGTTACTCCGGACCTTTATCTTACCGTTACTTAGCGAGTGTTTTGCTGGCCAAGAGCTCTCATGCGGATCTGAGGTCAAAGACATCGGTCTAGATATCTGCTTAAGTCTGCAGCCAAGTAGCGTTTGGAAGAGTGCCGACTCAAACTGGGCACCACGATCAGTCGTAACCGTGGATGGGACACCGAACATGGCGACCCAACGACTGACGAAGATCTTCCTGATGGTTTCAGTCTGCCCATTCGGCAAAGGAATGACTTCAGCCCACCGCGTGTACCGATCGAAACAGGTATGGAGGTGGGTGAAACCACTGGACGGAGGCAAGGGGCCTACGACATCCAGATGCACATGGCTGAACCGTGCGTCGGGGCTGGGGAAAGTGTCTGGTGGGAACTTAGTGTGACGTTGCACCTTTTTGCGCTGGCAGCTCTGGCACGATCGGGTCCACGCTCTGACGTCCTTGTTCATGCCAGGCCAGACGAACCTTTCCGCGAGGAGCTTTTAAGAGGCTCGGATCCCAGGGTAGGAGAGTCCATGCAGAGTCTGAAATACAGCTCGACGCATCGAGGCGGCACGAAAGGTCGATGAAAGGGAGTCAAGACGTCACAAAGCATGGTACCAGAGCCGGTTGTCAGAGGAAAATCGTTGAGTTGGAGACCACTAACGGACTCGTCGCCAGGACAACCCACTCGCTGTTGCTCAGCCGCCATGGCACAAAGATCGATCCCGTGTGAGAGTTGGAGGGAAGACAGTAAGGGTCTGGACAGCATATCAGCCACCTCATTCTTCGTGCCATCAGTGTGGCGGACGTTGATGGTGAAATGGGAAATGTAGTCCAGATGAGCGATTTCCCTCGGATTGTACTTGTGGGAGTGGGACCAAAGTGCAAAATTTAACGCTTGTGGTCCGTGAAAACAGTGAAGTCCTGACCTTCAAGGAAATGTCGGAAATGCTTCGCAGCCAGGTAAATGGCAAGTAGTTCACGACCAAAGGTACTGTAGCGTGTCTCAGCTGGTAAGAGTTTTTTGAAGAAAAATGCAAGTGGTCGAGTCGAACCAGCAAGGCGTTGTTGAAGGATTGCACCTACGGCTACGATCGAAGCACCTACCACCAGGGATAGCTGAGCTTCGGGAGCGGGATGCGTGAGTAAGGTGGCGTGGCAAGGGAATTCTTGATTCTCTCAAAAGCAGTCAGTGCTTCACCAGTCAGCTGGAGGGGGCCTTCGGGACTAGAAAGCATGTTGGTGAGCGGCAACATGAGATCAACACAGTTCGTTAGGAATCAGTGGTAAAAACTGGCCATGTCGAGGAATCGCTGTAACTGACGCTTGGAAGTTGATGGAGGGGAATCACGAATTGTTTCAACCTTGGAGGGGAGGGGACGCAAACCTTCAGAGTCGACATGATGGCCGAGGGACTCGAGCGAAGGCACACCCAACACGCACTTGGAGGGGTTGACGACAACACCAAACTTGTCAAGACGGTCAAACACCAAGGCAAGATGTTCTTTGTGTTCTTCTTCATTCCGGCTGGCCACCAAGAGGTCACCAATGTAGGCGTACACAAAGGGTAGGCCACGTAAAACATGGTCGATAAACCTCTGGAACGTTTGGGCGGCATTACGAAGACCAAACGGCATGCGTACGAACTCAAAGAGACCGAAGGGTGTGGTGACGGCGGTTTTAGGAATGCCCTCAGGGACGACTGGAATCTGATGAAAAGCACGCATCAGATCAAGCTTCGAGAAAACCGCTTTGCCGAAAAAGGGCTCCAGCAAAGTCCTGACGATGAGGCACGATGTACCGATCAGGAATGGTGGCACTGTTGAGGGCACAATAGTCGCCACAGGGTCGCCAGTCGCCTGATGCCGCCTCGGGCACCATGTGCAGTGGGGACGCCCAAGGGCTATCAGACGGTTGAATTATTCTCAGTTGCAACATGTGTTCAAACTCCGCCTTTGCGACCTGGAAATGATCCGGTGCTGGTCGTCTCGGCCGAGCAAACACGGGAGGATCTGAGGTGCGGATATTGTGCACGACATCTTGTTGGACCTCACCACTGCGAATGTGGGGGGTAATTATGTTGGAGTGTCTAAGAAGAAGTTCGCGAAAGGGTCTAGCAATATCAGTGTCCAGGACAGATAAGTTGGTGGGGGCAGTAAAGGGAGTTATTCTACAAACAGACAGACCGGTTGTGCGGTCGAGAAGACGGGCACGTCCGCAGTCAACAAGGAGATCGAACTCGACTAGAAAGTGCGAGCCGAGGATTGCATGAGGGACGTCAGCAATCACAAAGATCCAAGTAAATGACCGACGAAGGCCAATGTTCAGGGTGAGGGGCAGACTGCCAAAAGTGGGAATGGGGGAACAGTTAGCAACTTGGAGGTGAAGACCAGGTATGAGGAAACGAAGATCAGCTGCAGTTGGGGGAACAACACTGATTTGAGCTCCTGTGTCCACCAGAAAACGTCTGCGAGTCGCAGTGTCGCAAACATAGAAGGTGCGACCAGAGCCGGAAGAGCCAGAGAAAACGGTCGCATCTATTCTCTGGCTGACTAGCTTCCCTGTTTTGACTTAAAAGAACAGGTTGAGGAATATCGACGGGCCTTTACACCGAAATTAGTGTGATACCAACAAGTATCGGCAGTCCGAGGTCGCGAGCGTTAAAGACGACGGCTGCGTGAGCGACTGAGAGTAAGGCGTGCGACCTGTACTTTAAGGGAGGCCATCTCATCCGCCATGGCCGACACCTGCTTCATTAACTGTTCATTCGCTGTCGATGAAGATGTGGGGATCTGGGCAACGGAAGGAGACTGGAACCGCTACATCCCTATCATTCGATCCGCTATCTCAGCCAGCTGTGAGACCGTGAGATCTTGAGAACCGGACGTCAGAATCGTTTGAACATCTGCAGACAGGCGCTCTAGAGGCATCTCCTTGACGAATTTATCTTCAACTTGCATGTCTCGAAGGGGAGAACGCATTCGACGTAGAAGTTCTAAGGGCTTCCGGTCACCCAGTGACTCCTCCTTAAGTAACTGGTAATACCGCTGTCGGTCGGACACAGAATTAAGTCGAAGAATTTCTGTCTTTAACGTGGAATAGGGAGCCCCGCAGGAGGATTAGATAGTATGAACTGAACTTGACAGATAATACTAACGGGGAGAACCTCCACAAGTTTATGATATTTCGCCAACTCCTTGGTAACGTTAGCAGAATAAAAGGCTGATTCGATGCGGATGAGATAGGGTTCTGGGGCTTGTTGCCAGAATTTGGGCAAGGTAAAATTGACGGCATGAAGGGACTGGGCGGGGGCATCAAGTTGATGAATGGAGTGAGACATAATAATCAAGACAGAGATGGTAAAATATCGAGAACATTCATGAAAAAAGTCGACGTAAATGGAATGGAAATTCAAAAACAAATAGTACGTTAAATGTTATTCAGTATAACATTGAAAGTCTGTTTTAACGTCAAGAGTCACCAATGACGTAAGTAGTAATGTTCCCATGAACTAACAAGTCATATCTCACGAGCCCTTAGCCTTAACGGCGGTAAGTAAAATCGAGCAGTGAAAAAATATAAAAATTCTGAACGTTAAGTAACCTGACAACAGAGCGCGACAGCTTAGCAGCCCCAGCGAAGCGGTTGTACGGGTGTGTTGGTTTGCGTCACATTCAAACAAGCAATCCGGTCAAAGAAAACGGGACTAGATTGACAAAGATAAATTAGTCCAGTACCTCACCACAGAAACTCGGAAACTGTGACATCCGAAATTCAAATCCCAATAGACACAAAGAGGTGGGTCCCGGGAGGCAGTCAGGGAGGAGACGTGATCGTTGAAACAAAAGGTTTATTTTTCTAGTGTTTAGAGTCCGCACTCCAATTCATCCTCAGCGACATAATCAGATAAGGGTAATGTCCGCACAGGTTTTGCAGTGGTGAGAGGATGCAGTTGTTCACCTATCAAACCCGACTGCTCCCGTATTAACTGCAGAGGGTTTTACATGATGCAAGTCGTCCACCACTGACGTGTCACCATTTGTGATCAAAGGTTCATCGACACTGCCACTGAGAACAGTACTTGCTCGCGCGTTCTTTGCGTGATTACTCTGTTAGATCAGGCGGAGTTTAAGCAGAGGACACGATGGCGGGAAATCATCGCACTTGTCAATTGACCGGGGGCCCAGTCGGTTCTCTCCTCCGCGCGAGGATTTCGGCCCCATTGAACTTGACTGTGAAGCCGGGTCCCGTCGACTTAACAGCAACGTGACAGAAATAGCAGCTGCAGGTTCGGGTATCCGCGTCCGGCGGCTGTCTTCTATTTTTGGCGACGAAGATGCCTTATCCATAACTGCGTCAGACGCTCCACATGTTACCTTTCTCCGACCATCGCCATTTGCTGTATCCTTGCGGAAATATCTGCTGAAAGATGAGTAACGCAATGTCCACGACCGAGATATAAATGAAAACAGTCGGCAAAAGCATGAATGGATGTGGGCCACGCGATGTACTAAGATAAGCCAGACCTCAGAGTTTATATTCTGATCTAATTATGGGTCAAATTTTTCTATCGTCTAACATACAAGGTTTTATACCTGGTCGTGTGAGGAGCAGACACAAATACGGCATACAAAATACAGACCCTGTTAAGAAGAAAAGCAAAATGGCAAAAAATAGGATATTAGAGCAATGCCTAGCATCGGGGAAATGAGACCTAGCGGAGAAGAATGTCAGTTGATGCGGTATTATGAAATTGACCTAGCCTAGTTCAGTTGTGAGTGCCAATTTCCGAAGTCTCAATAAACCATTTACAGTGCGGCCGTTTTGAGACAACGTAATTTGACCATCTAGAGATAGGAGTGATTTTGAATTTGCATCTGACGTCAGAAATCTTAGATTCAATCAAAGGTATCGGAGCAAAGTATGTAAAAACAACGGAGCAGACGTTAAAAAAAAATTGTGAGACAAAATCTGATTAAACATCTGCTGAACTACTAAACCAATAAAAGGGTTTTCTAGCGGCAACACATACAAAAAACACTGGGTAGCATTTGCGTCATATACGGTGAGAGTGGTTTCACTGGTATTGGAGATGCGATTCTTGTTAAAAGGGCAGCCGGGTTCTTCAGCCTAGATCAGTTTTTCGTTGATTATCGAGAAGTTTAAGATTTTTCAGGATATTTGCAGCACAATATGAGGACGAAGATAAATTATGAGGGGAAAACGTCGTTAAGAAACTAGAAAAGAATATCTGTTAGCAGTCATACTGTTTTTTTTATGGACAGTAGGGTTAGGGATTGCTTATACGAATAAAACGAATGAAAATTCGAGAAGTTGATTAGATCACGGTTCGTTTTTCCGTATATACGGAGGAGGGTGGGAAGGAGGAGACAGTAAGTGGCAGTAAGGGTACATTAGAGCTGTGTCACGGGGGAAGGGAATACGGGGGACGAGGACATAAATATAGTAAATCGCTCGTTTGCCGCGATAGATGTGGAGCGTGCAAGGGTTTTTCTGCGCGCAGAGCACCAAATTCCGTGGCCTGATAGTTAAAGTAGGCGCGAAATTGAGTACCGATTACTAAGGCGGACACATATTTTAGGCGGAGCTTCTGGAGATTTTGTGCCGGCAAGATTATTATCGTAATAAAGTACTGAAAGTAACAACGCAACATAGACTGATCTGGACCACACATTGGGGGCTCATTATAGCGGGAAGAAACCCAGGGTAGGCAGATAGAAAGTCATCCATAAAAGCATTGCCATAAACCATACATTAAACAGCCCTTCAAATTCTGCACCGATAGTAGTGACTTGGCCGGCCGGATTCAATTATGAGATGACCAGCATACTATGTAAGTGTGTTTATCTGCGAGAAAATGAACAGATGGGCTAAGACCTTCATGCGGGAAGAGAAAGGGGTATAGGTCCTACATGCCGCAATGACTAAAACGTGTCAACTTCCAGACCTTACAGATGCCAGCAATATATGTTGATGTACACCATAATTAAATCACATTTTTCGCATCAGCTCAAATTGGTTCTAGGAGCAACTCCTCTACCACGTACACCACTAGAGTTTCTTAGTCCACTATAAGGTAGGAGAGGGAACAGGGTTCAGTCTCTTTATGCAATTGGTCAACCAAGCCTCGCAAAAACGTCAATACGGTTATGCTACTGTTTTAATAGGAAAAATGGGTCTGTAGCATGCTTTATTGTTAAAAACGGAAACACAATTTTTCATCCAAAACAAAACATAAGGCAACACGTTCCCTGGTTGTCAGGTAGTCTCCGCCGGTGGGGCCTTTCCGGACTGCAAGTTCGATGGTTTAAAACTACACGCTGCAGTGGTCTGTAACAAATTATAACAGTGACAAATTGACCGCAAACTACACCCATTCCTGCCGCATAAAATCGGGATTTTTACGCAGTTTACGAGTAAGTATCTTCTTCAAAATCTGACGGAGCAATTAGTCAGACTTCTGAATATTATCGTTGAATATAAAAATAGACCGTAGTCGGCATGTGATACTTTCAGCAAGTAAAGCCTGAAACCGCGTAGAAATATAGCCGCAAGAAACGAGGCGGCTCAGCTTTTAAAAGGCCGTGGGCACTAGATAGTCTCAAAGAAAACTATTCAAAATTCTAAAAATTGGTCAGCGCGATAATTATCATGTTACTCGATTTCAACCAGCAAACTAACGCCTAATGACTTGGATTTTTTACGAACTTGTTTGTATTTGCTTCCTTTAACTCTCCTCATTGCAAAGATTCAGTTCTTGGTAAACTAGAAGGGGTCTTTCTTTAGATTAAACATCATTTCTGCGGAAATTTAGAGAATGCTTAATTGATGGAGCTTAAAAGTTATAATAGGGGTGGAAACAAGTAATGCTCATTGCTGATCTAATTCTTCTCGTTCATCAACCCGTAAGGAATGCAAACTGTGCGTTATGCTCAGCTAATCACCTAAATACCTGTTGGCTTGAATATAAACTAGCCCATCCCCCAGGTATTTTAAAGATGGTAATGCGGTTATATTTCTTATAAATAATTTGTTCGGCGTTCGGTCTTGACTGCACAATGACATTTGTAATTCGCTCTCCAAAGCCCTCATTGGTGTACGCTATCTCGTAAGCATCAATTGTATGTGTTATATACTGTCATTATTTGTTCACGAAGAATTTGCAATTAATACTTGATTTTATGATTGCTGCTACATGCGCTACACATTAAAATGAGCTTTTTCAATGAAGACCGCTTGTTTTTAGAGGCACACTTTCATAGCGGAAGTTTCAGCGGTTAAAACAAGTAAAGGTTTAAACAATCCAAACCGGATCTATTTTTTTCTAACATGACTGCGGAACATGTTACGCATTTTATGATTTGGCGAGTTTTCTCTAAACTAGAGAGGTTGTAAAACCCTAGGTCCAACATAGAAGTATTTTCCTAAAAGAAAAAGTAGCTGTTGGTAATTTGACGGCGAGTAACAATTTTATTGTAACCTCTTTCAGTTACTTAAGGCAATGTCGGCTGGGAGAATCATGCTGTCTCTAGGAAAAGCTAACGATTTGCAAAAATTGTGGTTTTATTCTTTAACGTCTACGCAGCGAAAACAGACTTTTTCGTCTGGAAACAACCATTTCGATGTCGTTATTTAGAGACCTGTCGGTTCTTCTAAAACACCAAACGGAACATCATAAACCTTCACTGGCTAAAAACCTTTCCATATATAATTTGCCATTTAAAGCCCCACTCTAGTTGACTTAATGTGTACGCAGAAAAAAAAAGACAGAATGTATATGAAATATTCTAAGCTATTAAAGAACTTTTACTTCAGTACTTTGACCAAAATCCAAGGGCGTTGGGGTTTGCTTTAGCCTAAAGAGGTCTGGGACAGATCCAAATAACAAGTGAATCCTGCATGCTGCGAATGTCGATTAAAAACGTTTGCGTAG